CTTGTACTTAGATACCTCACTAAATGCAGTGATGTCTAACTGTACTGTAGTTTTCAAATGGCTGTGCAAATACAGTCGCTTTGGTGCATTTCTCACTACACTGTTTACATTTGCACAACAGGTAATGCATTTCTCAAAACAATTAGTCATTTGTGCAAATCCTAGTAGCAGTTTCTCATTCTTTTCAACAAATTGCGAATGCTTTTGGACATGCATCAATTGCTTTTATACAACTCTCTGCTGTTCAGAACATTATCATCTGCTTATGTCATGTCAGTCAAAATGAACTAAACTTGTAAATGTTGAATAGTCATTCGATATAAAACGAGTAATCCTCATTTCATTACTTGAGTCATTACATCCAAAAATGTTGAACTAGTTGTCAAAATCTGTCAAGCTAATTTTTTAAACAAATTTAAATCTTTATTTTCCTGAAAATGTCTTTAAAATTGAACAATTTGATGAATGATTTACAGACCTGTGTATGTTGTAGGCTCAGTTCCAATATGTACTGAAATATTATGTGCACAGCTCTTCCTAAAGGGAGTTTAGGTTTGTTGTAAATAAGGGTGTGTTTATTCTTTTGCACAATGCTGTCAATAAATTAGGATTTTTAAGAGCAAATGCAGAGTAAAAATGTGAAACATACATATTCAGTGTCTTGTACTTAGATACCTCACTAAATGCAGTGATGTCTAACTTTACTGTAGCTTTCAAATGGCTGTGCAAATAGTATACAGTGCTGTCTTGAGCATTTTCAGGAAGTGTCACCAACATCTGACTTTTTTGCATTGAAAAAATGTAGAGAGTAAACTGTTATAATGAAAACATGACTAAGCCATTTGACTATCTTGTTCATAAACAATGGTGACAGGACTTTTCATTTTGATGACACTGACACTTTGATTGACATGAATACTTGCTTTTGAGGAATGAACTATCCATTTTGAGCATGTGACATGCTTTTGCAGGTTATCAGCTAGGTTTTTCAGTTTGTACTAATTGTTTTTAGAAAATCATTAAATGTTTTGCAAAAATGCACTAGTGTTGTGAGAAACGCACTAAAGCAACTGAGAAAAACTGTAGTATAAAGTGCTGTCTTGAGCATTTTCAGGAAGTGTCACCAACATCTGACTTTTTGCATTTAAAAAAATGTACAGAGTAAATGAAAACATGACAAAGCCATTTGACTATCTTGTTCATAAACAACGGTGTCAGGCCTTTATCTTGATGACAATAATACTGCCATTGACATGAATACTTGCTTTTGAAGAATGAGCTATCCATGTTGAGCAAGTGACACGCTTTTGCAGGTTATCAACTAGGTTTTGCATTTTGTACTAATTGTTATGAAAACTGCATTAACTGTTGTGCAAATGAGAATAGTGTTGTGAAAAATGTACCAAAGCCACTGAGAAAAACTGTAAATATAAAATTAATTAAATGATTAAAATTTTTAAAATGTAGTATTTTCTACAAATGAAATATAAAAGCTACTAGCTCTGTACCTTCTTTACAATTTAAGAAATCAGAAATTATGTCTTATTTCAGTGCAATTGATGGTAAAATCTTGGAAGAGATCATACAGATTATGAATACGTCATCCTGCTGCCTTGACCCACTCCCCACATATTTCTTCAAAATGATGTTAAACTGTTTAACTCCTAAAAGTGTTAAATGCTTCATGTCTTTCTCGAACTTTTCCAAACTCCCTTTAATCTGCATCCCTTTAATCTACCATGATAACAGCACAAATGATTTAAAATTCTCCTTTTTATTGGCAAAATTATTGCCAAATGGTTTTAACCAGATTAACAAATGTCTAGGTTCTAAGAGATGTTTAGACATTTTTCAATTTTAATTCTGACCATATCATAGTACAAATGATGCCCTCATAAAAATAATCAATGATATTTGTCTTACAAATACAAATTCAGGCAAACAAACAGTGCTGATATTTATTGATTTCAGTGCTGCATTTGACACTGTCGATTACAGCATACTTCATATGCTGTAAAACTGGGTTGGCATTCTGGGACAGTCCTTAAATGGTTCAGATCATTTCTTGAAGGTAGAGGTTACTATGTCAGTATAAGTGACCATAGGTAGAGGCAGACACCCATGACATGTGAAATCCCACAAGGTTCAATTCTGGTACCTCTTATGTGGAACCTTTTAATGCTAAAACCTAAATTTCTTTCCACAGCTATGGGGGGTCTAGGGGTCAAACAATAAAAAATAATGTCAAGAATCTTGGTGTGATTCTGGATTCAGATCTTTGTTTTGGTCATTATGTCAAAGCAGTAACTAAATCAGCAAACTATCATCTCAAAAACAATGCAAGAATTAGATTCTTTGTTTACAGTGGGGATAAACCGTCACACCCGGAGAGACTGATCCAAACGCAAATGCTGTTAACACAAAAGGATTTTATTAAATCTTCAAAACAATGACGAGCCGAGGCTCGTGACTCAAATGAAAATGATGAGATCGCTCGGCGAGAGCGAAAGATAACACGGCAACAGTGTCCAAATCGGCGGGCGTGAGAGATCACAGGCAGGTGAGCATCGATCGGGAGGCAGATGGGATTACGGAGGAAATTCAAGTTCAGCATCGGACAGGCGAAGTAGAAGGTAGGTGGCTGGCCAGGGAGAATCCAAAATGAAACAGAAAAAACACAGGCAACCGAGCAAAAACTGGGCAGAAGAGAAAAACAGAATCAGAACATGAAGTAATGCATGACAATGACAGGAATCAGGACAACGTAGCGAGATAGCCTGAATAATGACAGTACACACTAGCGACCAGAAAGTGGGAAAAGGAGAGCTTAAATAGCAAGGAAATTAATGGAGACTGGTAACAGGTGCAGCAAGCCGTGTGCGCACTGATCAGTAATAAAGAGTGCACACTGCAAGAATGAAAAGCAGGAAGAAAGAGAAATCAAAAGATCAAGTCAAGATCAAGATCAGAGTGGGTTACTATAATGGACTCCACGCTGGCCTTTCTAAAAAGACAGTCAGACATTTATTACTCATCCAGAATGCTGCTGCCAGGATTCTGACCGGAACCAGAAAATCAGAGCACATCACACCTGTCCTCAGGTCTTTACACAGTTACACTGTTCTAGTTACATTCATAATAATTTTTTTTTTATTAGTATTATTATTAAGTATTATTATTGTTTATAAATCACTAAATGGCCTAGGACCACAATAAATTACAGATATGCTCACTGAATACAACCTAGCAGATCACTCAGATCAAGGACTGATTAGAAATTCCAAGAGTTTGCCTTTTTTGCCCCTACTGCTGGAATCATCTTCCAGATCAGATGTGCTTCAACTGTAGGCAAATTAAGACTCATAACACTGACTTAGAACTCAAATCTGTTTAACTGTGTCTTTACTGAATGAGCACTGTGCTCTGTGTGTGCTTTGTCTTTCTTTTCCTTTTTTGTCATTCCTTTTAAACCTGTTTTATTAGTAATTATGATTTAATATACTTGTATTTAATGATTTTTTTTCTTTATGTAAAGCACTTTAAATTACCATTGTGCATAAAATGTGCAATATAAATAAACTTGCCTTGCCTTGCTATCCTTGATTGTAAGAGACAAAAATTTACAAAAATGAGAAGGGCATATTGCCACATTTTGCAGATAAATGTGTAAATGTACGTGTAAAATAATCAGAAAACATCAAGGTCACTTTAAGGCTGAAAAGTCTCTTGGCAGATATTAAAAAAAGCACTGTACAACTATGAAAAGACTGAGGGCCCTATCATTCACCCGGCACAATAATGTGCAAGACGTGTTTGGCGCAATTTTTAGACCAGCGCAAACTTTAATTTTCTCATTTTTTGCCTCATTGTTTAAATAGCAAATTCAATTTGTGCCACTTTGTAGACTCATCGGTGTTCCGACTAAAGAAGAAGTTTATTAAAGTTCATTGTTGTTGCATTTTTAAAAAAAATCTGAAACAGGACCAAATAAACCCCGGTCTAAAGTCCAGCGCAGACTGCTGTAATTATGGATCTATGCAGGTCCAAAACCTGTACACATTGTTTGATACACTCAGGATGTAAAGCAAGACACAAATATCTTCACATATAAAAAAATAAAGGATTAATGTTACAATTTTTTTTTTTTCAATATGAATATAAAAATCACTACCCCCGTGCCTTTTTCATGACTCAGACACGCACGTAATGCTGTTGTGCCTTGTGCTTTAGACTTTGTGCCTAGATTGTTAAAATAGAGCCCTATGACATTTTCAGTTCCGTTTCAGTTTAATCAATGTTGGGTTGAGGGGTTTTGGCCAGGACATTTTCAAGTCTTTGAATGGTATTTTTATATAAAGCTTGGTTTATTAATGGTGCAGTAACTGACTCTTGTTTCAAGATTTGTTACAGCATTTGAGGTTGCACTCCTAATTTCTATGTATCCTTTTTCTCAAGTTGATTCCTTTTTCGATCAGTAGGTCTTTCTAAAATTCTAGGATTTTGTGATTAAGGATTTATTTGTGTTTATTTTAGCACTGTTGTAAAGTATACTGTGAACAAAGAAAAAATCAAGAGACAACCACAGCAAATCAAACAAGTCAACAATAGGTGACAGTAAGCAAATATAGAAGTTGCAAATGTTGCTTCTAGGATAGATTGGTACACTAGCATTGGTATAGGATGCAAGATGCACGTGTTCAATATTCAGGACAGGTCTATTGATGCATTTTTAATGTGTGTTAGTGTCAATGTCTGCCCATACGCATGTGCGGGGTTAATTGTGCATTATTAATGTGTGTCCATGCTGGACAAAGATTGTGTTACTCTATGTACACTTGTGGGAACACTTCTACACCTGAAATATTAATGCCATTTCTTTAACTTTTACCAACTACAAAAAAAGGAGCGGAAAAAACAAAGACAGCAATGAAGAAAGGGAGACATTCAAACAACTAAAACACATGCTGTAACTGTAATTCACATTTTAATCTGAATGCATTTGCCAACAAATACAGGATTGCAGAACAGAATTACAGTCTTTTGACACATAGATTTACTTATTATGTAATTTACCAATTGCATCAAGTTGTAAACTTTCCTAGGTTGCCTTGGCCAAGACAAGAATACTCATGAGGAAGACCATGATGAAAAACACCCACATGAAGAACCTGTCCATCACCTTGGCAACCTTCTTCCACTCGGCCCCTTTGGCCTGGTGTCCCCTCTGCTCTCTGAAACAGTTAGCTATGTACTCAATGTTTCGCACCAATTTCTGATGTTTTCCACAGACACACCCTGTGCCAGTAGTTGTCTTATTGTAGCTATCTGCTCCAAAGGTTTTGCTGTAGCCATTATCGTGAAGGTAGCCGACTCCATTGAGATACCCATTGCCCTGATCATATGTGTATCCGTTAATTTTTTCTGGAATGGAGATTTCACTGTCTTTGAGTTTTTCCTGACTTGTTAGTGGGAGCTTTTCGCTTCCATCTCGACCGATGAAGTGTGTATATTTTGGATGATGGGAACTCTGTCGAACAGGGGAATTTGATGACGATCGGGTTCTTCTTTGCTGCTCATTCCTATGTTGCCGATAGCTGCTGTTTTTGTGATGGTACCCATTCCCATGTCGGTGGTCTCTGTGACTGTACCCATTAAACTGACTGCGGATTCTCTCATCAAGGTGACAGTCTTCATAAAACCCTTTGTCAAAATACCCATCTCTCTCCAGGCTAGCCAGTGGATCTTCAGAGAAAAATGGGCCTCGATCACTTTCAGGTGTTGTGCAGTTCTCTCCTACCTCATACACAAAGAAGATCTTTGACATGTAGTCTATTATCAGAACTTTGGCCCAGTGGGGCACCGGTTTAGCTTCTGCTCCACAGAAGTGTATATTCATAATGAATATAGTCAAAGATGTAGAGGCTGTTATCATGGTCATTGTTGCAATGTAATATTTTCCTGTAAGAAACACAAAACAAGAAACAAATAACAAAGAAGCTATGTTAACACAATCAGTTGCTGGGACTGACAAAACAAATACTTTTATTTTACAGTGTGCTTTATTCTGTATTATGTGTAATACAACCCTATCAATATAATGAGTCAGATGTAAGGTGGTATTTTAAAGTAATGTTAGTACCAATTGTTTGTTGAGTTTAAATAACCTCATAATCATTCTAAATTCAGATCATTTAAATGCTGGGTCATCTTGATTCGAGATTTATAAAATTCATAACTTATTTGTGGTTAATTCTAGGTATTCAAAAGTTGATGCTCCACACTGTATTTCTCAACCTTTAATTAAATATTTTATTTTCATTTAGTTTAATTTTTAACAATGATGTTCAAACATCAATACCAGTATTTTATTTTATTTTTTACTTTGTAGGATTATTTCTTTGGTCCCTATGAGGAAAACAATAGGTTTTTTTTTAAGTCTTGAAGGCTGGAATTACTGGTAGAATAGATTAAAAGTAAGAAGAGACACTAAACAATGTAGAATATAAAATCATGGTAATTGAAAAAATGTTAATTACATGTTATTAATAATAAACTTTATTAATGAACACGTACAATAACTCTGTAATAAACATTAATTTACCAATTTGAATGAGATTTGAATGTGTTACGATCCCCAGTGATCTAGTATACGCAATTCCACCACTGAATCGAACTACAAATACCATGATACTTAGCACCAATCAATATCTGCTACAGCTGCACTTTATCTGGCCTGACACACACAAACACACAAACACACACACACACACACACACACACACACACACACACACACAAACACACACACACACACACACACACACACACACACACACACACACACACAGGTGAAGATCATTCTTGCTGATTACTAAGACTATGCACACAGATCACACACACACTTCTGGGTTGAGTCTTGTTAGTCTGTAACACCTTGAAGCGCTTCATTGTCTACACAAAATTCTACACACAATACCCTATGATTACAATGTGAAAAAGATATCTTGAAATTGTTGCAAATTTATAAAAAAAATAAATAAATAAAAAATCTGAAAAATCGCATGTACATCAGTATTCACAGGCTTTGTTCAATACTTTGTTGATGCACCTTTGGCAGCAATTACAGTCTCAAGTCTTTTTGAATACGATGCCACAAGCTTGGCACACCTGTCTTTGGGAGTTTTTGCCCATTCCTCTTTGCAATAAAAATATTTTTTGTTCTTTTTATTTTTGTTTAGATCACTTTATTGGAAACTAATTGAACTGCACTGATTCTCACTTTAATTTCAAGAGTTTACACTTAGGCCCCGTTTACACTAGTGCGTTTTAGTTTTAAAACGGCGTTGTAGAATGAAAACGATCCGCGTCCACACTTGCGTTTTACCCAGCGTTTCTGAACAGCTCTCCGTCCACACCAAAACGCTGAAAACGCACATCACGTGACCACACACACACACTCTCGGGCAAGCGCTCCAGCATTTCTACCCAGATGAGAGCTCTGCTTGTCGGGCTGCACATCACGCATCTCCCGCTGGATCTAATCTCACTATATTTGCTAAACGTGATATTTCATTCATGTTGTTGTCTTTATCTGACGACATAGGCCAATTCCTTGACTTTGGTCATTGGAATCTATTAAGTTACTTGTTCACGGGTAACATGTTTTGGTTAAGCGCAAAGATAAGTTAATGATTAATCCAGGTACATTGACTGATCGCTTGCCTTTATTTCCTACAATGTATAAACTTATTGTATGTTATACTTTTATAATTATCGATTATTAAAACTGATTTTCAGCAAAAGAGAGGGTGCGTTTCGTGTTTTCACTGAAATTGAAAGGAGGCAGTTGTTATCGGCTCCGTTTTTTTATAAATATCCACACAGTGAAGATGACGCTCATATATGCAGCACGACGCCTCAACATTTCTGCTGTCTGTTAAGTTGCTAATATTAAAATGAAAATAGGCAGTTCCTTAAATCATGTTTACATTTTATTGTTGAGAAAGTGAAACAACGTAGCCAAGGTGATGTGAATGAAGTTATAAAGTACACTGTTCCCTTTGAAGATTTACCCGTGTCCTCTGTATGTTTTCCATATCAAACTGAGAAGGGGGAGACTGCAGCCTTGATCAAACTTGCGAAGTCTTAACTTACAAGAAGAGGATGCGAGACTGAACTGTGTGTGGGCTACTTAATATTGAGGGAAAAGCCCCAATCAGATAGGCGAACGTTTGCAGCCCCGCCTCCGTTTTCAGATGTCTCCGTCTTTCCCCATCCACACTGAGACGGAGCAGCAGCGTTTTAGAATGAAAACGGCCTCTCCAGCGTTTTCAAAAGGCTCCGTTTTCGGCGCTCGAGAACTCCGGCGTAGTGTGGACGGATGGCGTAACCGTAGCAAAACTTATGCGTTTTCAAACTAAAACGCACTAGTGTAAACGGGGCCTTAGATAATGCTCGCACTGTAAAAAATGCAGGGTTCCACACAACTCATTCATGTTGTCCCAACACAAATAGATTAAGTTAACACTTTTAACAAATTTATGTGGATTAAACATAAAAAACGTCCCAATGAAGTCTCAAGAATTGTGTAGTTTCAGCTCATTTTTAAATAAGAAGTTTGAACGAGCAAAAAAAATATATTTTTGAGTGTTTAATAGCAAGTTAGGCATGCTATCCCAGGAGAGAACCCTGAGCTTGGAGATACAGTAGATGAGCCCAAGGTTCCCGATTGGTCAGTCAGCATAGGAGGGATATGAGATTAGGTATTTCTCAAGAGCCCCCCGTTTATACTTTGGCTAATATGGTGATTCTAATTGATTGAGTATGTGTTAAATGCTTGTGACTGTTATTACAATTCGTTTATGTACATATTTTTAAATTGTGAGAGGAAACCAGAGAAATAAAGAAAAAAGCTCATCCAAATACTTTTTAAAAACTTTTTCCTCTGCTGGAAACTTACCAATTAATGGAACACTTTCTGAAGGTGGCATACTTTCAGCTACCATCAGCTGAAATACAGTCAGAGCCAGCAGGACCGTCACCCCCAACGAGACCTTCTCCCCAGAATCAGCCGGCAGGTAGAAGCCCAGTGGAGCCAAGAAAGAGATGAGGAAACACGGCAGAAGCAGGTTGAAGATGTAGAAAGAAGAACGCCGCTTGAGCAGGACTGTGTACGTTATGTCAGGGTACGGGTCTGAGCAGCAACCGTACATTATGACATTCTTGACAGCTGGCATGCCATGACACTCCCATTCCACGTTATCCACAAAATCTGAAAGATCACCACTCTCCATGCCCATAGCAATGTCCACCTGTGGTTACAATATTCAGAGGTTACAAATTCAGAATTCTGCCTGTAAAGACCTCCACAACTATATCTGCACACAATAACAGATCTTAACACATAAGATATATGTTTTTTTTATGTATTTACTTATTAGTAGTAGTAGTAGTTTTACAAGTACCATTCATGACTTTTTGATGTTTTTTTTTTTACTATTTTACAAATATTGTAACATTTTAGCCTTCAAGTTTTTCAAAAATAAATGAATACATATTCTAACATGTTAAGCAAGAATATGTTTATTCAACAAAATCTAAATATAAATATTTGTTTTATAATATGTTATTGTACACTGTAAAAATGCAGGATTCCAGACAATTCCTTCATGTTGTCCCAACATAAATTGATTGAGTTAACTTAATCGTTTTAACAAATTTATGAGGATTGAACATAAAACGTTTAAGTTGTCCCCCCAAAAACTCAAGAATTGTATTGATTTAGTTTATTTTAAATTAGCAGTTTGAACAAGCAGCAAAATATATATTTTTAAGTGTGTCTTGTTATCCAAATGAACTTTGAATGAAATTAATGATTTAACACTATGAAACAGGTTTTTTTACTATTCTATTTTCTATGCCTCTATGAAGTCAAGTACATATACCTGGTTGCCATTGTAGGTCCAGGAGCCAAAGGTAAGGTTGCATTCCTGACTATCAAAGGGGAAATAGGAGACGTCCACCTTACAAGAACTCTTGGTGATGGCAGGGGAGTCCCATGTGATCTCACCATTATATCTCAACACCACATTAGTGTCTGGGGGTCCTGAGGAGTCCTCCTCATCTGCACTGAGCAAAAAAGTCAGTAATAAAGTTGCTGGTTTAGACCTAACCTTCAAATTCACGCACTATAGTCCTTATTCTTTAGGTAATGTGTGCAAGATAATGTGTGCATGTGACAGATGGTAAAATTACTTGTTATATAAAACTATGTCTGGTCTCCAAACAAGATTGCTGGGAATGCGGATGACCTCAAGTCCATCATATTCTTCTTTATCCCAGCTCAAGTAAGCATCATGCCAGATCTGACGAACCCACAGATATGTAGTCAGCACCTGGTTTCTTTCATCCTAGCACAGAGTCAAGCACAAAAAAAACTAATTAGTACACAAACAATTTTCGATGTGAGCTCTGTATATGACTTGATCAATGATTTGGTACACAAACAATTTTCGATGTGAGCTCTGTATATGACTTGATTAACGATTTGATTTATAAAAAAACATATTTATATGTCCCAGCACGATAAGTCGAAATGACTTGTATTGTGCGCATTAGTCTGTTGGGTTTGCTGTCTTGTTTATCCGGGGCTGTGAATGAACCTCATGCTTTAATCTTTGGGTAAAAAGCAAGTAAAATTTGTAAAAGAAGATGAGGTGGCGCAATAAAAAAAAACTATATCTACTAATTTTGAAAACGACATAAGTAATTTGAAAAGGGGACAGAACACAAGAAAAACCTTTAAGAAATACTAGGAGTTGGATGAATGTCCCGTCTTTCACATGCAACTTAATAATCATGTTTTTTTAACCTTTATTTGAAAGGCTAGTCAAGAGGATGACAAATATAGGGAGAGAGGGGAAGGTCTGCCAAAGGACCTCAAGCAGGAAATCGAACTCTAGTTGCCGTGAGCAGCACAGTACTATATGTCAACGCACTTACCTACTAAAATACTGGCATCAATATGATCATGTTTAATTGTAGAAGGGAGCATGAAAGTCTTTTACCTGAGGGCAGTTGAGTTTGCACTTTACCGAACTATTAAAAATAGCCTAATTATGCGTCAAAATTGTTTTATACAAACTCAGAAGCTGAGTGGAAAACCATTTTGTGGCAAACTGTGACACCGATGCAAAGTCTGCTAATCATTTTAACATGTTTACATGGCAGAAATTTTGCTTTGTTTGTTTCTACAGTGTTTTATTCCACTTATCTGAAACCGATTACAATTCAGTCTTTTTTTTTCTTTTGACTCACTTGTTTTTATGGAGCATTTTTAATTAAATGTTGCTTTTAAACAAATTACAATGCATCATGTAAAAGTACCTAGTATGGGGCTAGATCGGGAGTCCCCAGACAAGCTCATTGACTGCCACTGTCCTGCAGAGTTCAGCGCCAACCTTAATTAAGAACACCCTTGCAGCTAAACACTGCTGGACATCAGCCTTCCACAAGCAGGATTGGACACACCTGGGTTATATGGTATGCTAGTTTGAGTATTCAGTCGCAAAGGGCCTTGCTCTGCAAGATAAAACCCCAATGTTCTACATGGAACACTTTCTCACAACAATGAAGAATGAAAGGGAAGAAAGTCTGAACCCTTAGGTTGCACTTAATGCCTTCTACATATCACATCTCATTGGTTAAAAGTACTCCTCAGGTTCAGTAAATTAATATTTGATTGAATTTGATCAGGGCGGAAATTCAGTGCCTCTTGAACGAGAAATTCATTGTCTTCTGAAACGCATAAACAATGTGTACCAGAGCCTTATATAAATACTATCTAAAGACAATGCACACAAATATTGACCATGAAAATTTTAAATTGAATTCTTTACTCCACCACAACCTAGTACTGAGAAACACCCGTACATTCCCACATACACACACATGCACTATGGCCAATTTATTTCATCCAATTCACCTGTAGTGCATGTCATTGCACTGTGGGGGAAACCAGAGCACCCAGAGGAAACCCATGGGGAGAACAAGCAAATTTCACACAGAAACACCAACTGGCCCAGCCGGGACTCAAACCAGCAACCTTCTTGCTGTGAGGCAACAGTGCTAAACACTGAGTCAGTTTATTCATTTCACCTACTGTATTTTGAATGTCTTTGGGCATGGGTAAACCAGAGCACCAGGCTAGGACTGCAAGAACACAAATACTAATTTTTAAAAAAGTTTTATGTAGTTTATTCTAATACTCAAATTATGTTTGAAAGGGGAAAAGTGAATAAGGCTTCTTTAAAAATTACACAATAGCATAATGTATGTACAGTACAGTATCATATCTCCTGTAATGAATCGGGGCTACAGTTATTGAGACTCTATGCTAAGTTCAACTTCAAAAACCGCACTGAAAACTCAGTTTAAAGATGGAAATAAACCAAATATTTTAAGATTTTTAAAAATGTTAAACAAATATGTAATATGAGGTTAAAATAATAAAAAATATCCTGTAATACTTATGTCATTAAATGAAAAAAAGTCTCTGCAAAAAGTCACAAGCAATTGCATCGAAACACTAGTTTATCTGTCAAACATTCTGAAATCATGCTGGGATAGCAAATCAAGGAGTTGCTCTTGCGCTCCCGGTTTTACAGCCAACAGCCAATAAATACATAACACATTAGAAATATCAAAAAACACATTTGTTTCTTATTAATATTTCTCTATACACAAACATATTATTGAGCTAAATTAATACTTTATGTGAGAACAAAGCATGATTCACAGTGGCACATGTTGCTAGAAACTGTTATACACTGGTCACATGCTAGTACATTAGTCATGCAGCTCACCCTATACACATATTATGTTTACAGTGTCACAGGATACAGATAGATAACGATACAAGTATCCACATAAATCTGTCCTCATAAACAAGTGCTGACACCTAGAGTTATGTACTGTAACTGCAGTAAAGTGTGCAGTAAATTGAAATCAGTAAGCAGACCGTTTGGTTGATTGGATATTATTGCCAATTATTTTACAATTATTGTAAAAGCATACAAATGTGACCCTGGCCTGTACCAAAATACCAACCTTAAGTTGGTATATTTTTAATAACAGCCAAAATGAGCTAACAATAGTTGTAGGCTATGAAACACAATTTTGATTTTGATTTCTTTATGCCAAGAATCATTTATAAATTGTATACTGTACATTTATTAAAGCCTTTACATTTTTTATTAGTAATATACATCACCAATAACTTAAATTGGACAACTTTAGCCTTTTAATTTTTTGCCAAAGTCTCTCATTTTTACCAAATAGTGTTACTGACACCCCACTAAGCCAATTCTGAGATTTTAGTTTTAATGATAACCTATGGACCATGCCCATTAAAGGGTTAAAGGCAATTTGTTTAGATTTTAGATTTTTTTTAACTCTCAAATATAAAAAAAAATGTCTCAATTTCCAAAAATGACCTTTATGACTTGTTTTGTGGCCCAGAATCACAAATATTTAACTGTGATCATTTAAGTATGACGTGAACATATGAATTTGAACTAAGCGTGTAAATCCGAAGGTTAAATGCCTTTGACCATTGTGGTCTATGTGGTTTGAGAATTAAATCGTCAAAGTATGCTCAGAAGACACGCGCCATGCCACATCAAGGTCAGTTGGACAGTGTTTGGGTTTCGTTAGTGTATTATACAGCCTTGATCTCAGACCCAGCGGATGTGATTTCAGACAGTTCTTGTTTCTGCAGGTTTCAAGGTCTGATGTATGTGGCTATAAGTTAAGCTGCTCTAAAAAGTACAGACTAACTCTAAATTTTAAAGTAAATATTTGCGAAATTGACTTGTATTTGTGTGTATAAGTTAAGGACTTACCATATCTTTAATCTGTGAAAGCGTGATCTGTAGAGTGACATTAAGGGCTTTGTCTGTGTCCTCCACAGGCCGTAAAGCATTAGAATAGCCCTCCATTAGGTCATTCAACAGTTTTTGAGCAAATCGACCCTGAGCAGAGAAAACAGCTAGAGACAACAGTATTTTTATTAGTTAGATAGATAGATAGATAGATAGATAGATAGATAGATAGATGATAGATAGATAGATAGATAGATAGATAGATAGATAGATAGATAGATAGATAGATAGATAGATAGATAGATAGATAGATAGATAGATAGATAGATAGATAGATACAATTTACATAACAATAGCAATCGTGCAGCGAGGAGCATAACTATTTCAGATATCTGAACAAGTCAACAAAAGGAGGATTGGATTAGATTTCAATAAAGATGACAGCATAGACAACAATAAGGATGACGATATAACGACTGTATAAATGACAGTATAAACGACAGTAAGGATAAAAGTATAAATGACAGCATATACAACAGTATGGATGACAGTAAAGATGAATAGACAACAATGACAACAGATCAGATGACATAATACCCCATAGAATATGACAGTACGAAACAGAAAAACCATCAGGATGACAGATTAAGACAACATGTACGTCAACAATGCTGATTTTCCTATGCATGCAAAGAGCACACAAAGACAAATTTGAAGTACAATTTGGGCACAAATGGATCCCCATAATTGTAGACAACACCATAACACATATTGACATACTGAACTTTGTACTTACTCATTAATTCATTATCTTTTTCGGCTTAGTACCTTATTAATCAGGGGTTGCCACAGCAGAATGAACCACCAACTTATCCAGCATATCTTTTACGCAGTGGATGCCCTTCCAGCTGCAACCCATCACTGGGAAATAACCACACACTCATTCACACACATATACCACGGATAATTTAGCTTACCCAATTCACCTTTATCGCATGTCTTTGAACTTGTAGGAGAAACCAGAGCACCCGGCATGCAAACATGCAAACTCCACACAGAAATGCCAACTGACCCAGCCGATGCTTGAATTAGCAACCTCCTTGCTGTGAGGAGACAGCACTATCTACTGCGCCACCGTGTCCCTCGACCTTTGTACTACTTGGTAATTATTTCATATCTATCTATCTATCTATCTATCTATCTATCTATCTATCTATCTATCTATCTATCTATCTATCTATCTATCTATCTATCTATCTATCTATCTATCTATCTATCTATCTATCTATCTATCTATCTATCTATAAACTAGATGTAAATTATCTTTTGTCATCCATGTTAAAACATACCTATATGCATGAAACCATAATCTATATATTCATATATTTGAACATTGGTTATTAAAGTAAGAAAAATAGGCTAAATTAATTTTCTGAAAATCTATTGCTATTTGACACTTTTCCCTTATAAAATATCAATTTCGTCACACTTTAATTTGATGGTCTGTTTGTTGAATTTAAGTTACATTGCATCTACATGACAACTAATTCTCATTAGATTATAAGTAGACTGTTAGGTTGAGGTAAGAGTTGGGGTTAGGGTTAGTGTAAGTTGACATGTACTTGCAAAGTTTCTTATAGTCACTTCAATGTCTGTTGAAGGAGCAGTATCAGCAGATATTAAGCAGACAATCTACTAATACTGAAATGGACCTTCAAAAAAAAGTGTTACCATACATTTTACTATATTTTAATGAACAACTTAAAATACACATTAAAAAAATATTATTTTGTATTTTAACAGCATTAGCATCAATAGAAGCTTGAACTTACCATGTAGCAGCAAGCTAATGTGAATCACAAGAAATATGGTCTTCATTTTTCAGAAGAATGGCAAAAATTATATTAAATCTACCAGTTATTATTTGCTACTGCTCTTCATTTGCACTTCATAGCTGTTAAATGTTATTTGCTGCAAGGCAGGAAGGAGAAATTGCTAGAAGTCTCATCGCGATCTGAGTGTTGAGCGTGGTGGTGTGCCCAGCTACAGCACTGAAGGCCTGAATGTCATTCTTACTGCTTCTCTGGAACAA